AGATTGGCATCACCAATTTAATCATGGTAGCTACACCCCGATGCCTGTGATGTTCATAGAATAACCCGGGGCAATTTTAAGTTCCATATATATATTCTATTAACAGACAGAAGCAGAACCACCCACTTGAAGGAAGCAGGTTGCACGTTGATCCGGATAGTAGATATTCCCTTGCAGTGTTGTGCACTACTCATCGCGACCACTGTCTCAGTGTATATCAACAGTGTATGCGATCTCCTTTAAAGTTTTGCACCTATTTATTACATCTTTATTAGACTGAGATTGCAGTTAACAGCAAGCAGAAAGCTTGCTGTACAACTCTATCGAATTATGAACAACCAAAAGCATCTAATTGCGAATCGCCAGCGGTAGTGTTTGTTCCGTTAATAGTTTATCCTTCTTCGGTTGGAAATGCGTATTGGTGTCACTATTTCCGGGCATAGGATATATCCCTTTCCATTGTATGTGTACAGTTGCACAAAACGACAGGTTTCCTAGATAATCATCGCTAAGTGTTTTAAAACACTTCAGACGATCGGCCTCAATTAATCTTCCTGCTAACATACTCCATAAGTTTACGATTCTTTGTGCTATAAAAACCAGGTGTGATACTTTGTTCATGCAGAGGATCCAGAGTTTGCAATGGTGGCCTCGAATGTTACAGGGTTCCCGCAGATTAAATAATGACCGCAGTATATGGAAGCGATTCAAGTGTAGTACTCGATGGGCCATAATAAAGTCAATTCTTACTCGGCGGTAGGATAATGTGTAGAGTCTGAGCCTTTCACAACGTTCTTCATGCGGAAACTGCCGTACATCGGGTATCGTCTTAGTTGCGATGTGCTGTATTTTATCCAGCTTTCCCGTTTCCTACTGAGTTATCGGATTGTAAGCTGGTGCGTCGTATTCAATGTTTGGTCTAATGAGCTAGGTGGATAGGTGAGGGACGGTTTCTTCGGACCATGTGGAGAAACTGCGTCGTAATGTCCAGAGCATACGAAGTCCCGCACGGTACAATCTTTCTGTATTTTCTGGTGATGTTATATCATGTCGCGAGAGCACTTCCAAGTCTCTGGCAGATGTGTTAGGGTGGAGCAACTGGCCATCCAAGGTGAATGATCGAGTGGTTGGACGCCTGATGATACTGATGAAATCCGACTTGCTTACGTTTAGAGGGAGTTACATTTCAGTGGACCACGTTGACAATCGATCTAAGTCATGCTGGATACGAGCGCAGTCGTCCTGGTTCTCAATGACCCTCCGATTTTTCAACTCATCGATAACCCGGACATATAGGGACTAGAGCTGCTGCAGGAGATCGTTGATATTAATAAGAAATAATAATTGCCCAAGTACAGTTCCTTGTGGCACTCCACTGGTCTATGTGCACCAGTGTCAGATAGTCATTGACCTGTGCTCTAAATTTTCGTCTTACAATAAACCCGTTTTACCACTGAAGAAGCGTGCCAACGAATCCGTAGGTCCTCAGGTTACGAAGGAGTTCCTCGTGGTTCACTCCGTCAAATGCCTTACTAAAGTCGACGCACACCATGCCAACATCATTCCATTCGTTGACAACCCGCACGCACTAGTAATTTCCGTACATTCAGTTGGTGATGCAGGAGCGCCCTTTCGTATAGCCGTGTTAAGCCGAGGTCAAAACCTCCATCGATTCCAAGAAGGACAACGAAAATTCTTTCACAACCTTCTCGAGAACTTTGGATAAGACCGAAGTCAAACAGATCGGTCTATACTCCTCTACTTTACTTGGGCCACTACCTTTGGGAGGCGGTTTCACTATCGAGCATTTATAGTCGTTGAGGACAGATCTTTCAGAGCGTGATTTATTGAATAGGTTTGCCACTGCTGGTGAGATGACATTCAATGGGAACGAGTTTTAATAGATAAAGTACTCTGGTGCGGCGGGCTTTGCACCATCGAGATTGACGAGTAGCTGATACACTTCGACTGCATCACATTGTAGGCTGTCGAGCAAGACTGGTGCAATCTATACCGGTAATATAACACCCACCGGGTTTGCAGGAGAATACAGTGAGGAAGTGCGTAGCCAAAACGTCCGCGCCGTCCGCGCTTGAAATGAGCATCTGCCCGTTCAAACTCTATAAGACCGCTAGGTCACCCCCAGGTTTCAGTTGACGTCTCATGTGGGCAAATATTATTCTGGGTGCAGTTGTGGCTGAGAATGTTATCTCCTCTTCGAACTGTCAGCGTTGCTTGATCTTTGCGAAGTTACATAGCTTTCACTGTTTCTTGTACACCGTGTAATCTTCAGCACAACCACAGCTTATGTATCTATCCAAAAGTTTGCGATGCCGTCGCGCTAACTGTCTATATTCCGTATCAAACTAATGCGATTCTACAGGTCCCGCTTTTGAATACTTCAGGGAAACGGACCGAGTACACAGCAAGTTAAGCTTCCCTTTCATTGAGGACCAAAGTGCCTCAAGCGACGCATCCTGTGGCAGCGTCTAATCAGCCTAGTTTGCTGCTTGGACGAGCCAGTTGAAGTTCGTCTTCCAATAGTTGAATGTCGGCTTCCCTTGGTTGTAATACTGTAACGGCAGTTCTATACATGCCACAATGTAGCAGTGGTCACTGTTCGCTAGAGGCTCGAGGATTCTGATCTCTTGCAGCTTCTGCTCGCAGCTAGGCAACATTACGTCCAAACAAGATGCCGCGCGCGGGGTTACGCGTATGGGTTGGATGCCGCGTTGCGTTACCCCCATTTCAATAATCATTTTAGCGAATTGAGCCTCCATGTCGCCATGACCAGGAAGAAGCCGAACGGCTGGCCAGAATATCTTGGATAAATTTAGATCCCCCTCAGTAAGAAATGAGGGCGGCTCATGTGCACCTGTATGTGTGGTAGCCAATCGCAGCAACAGTTTAGTGGACTACGGTAGATAACACCCACTATTAGTTCTGCGCTCCTGAGGCAGATTGTGCACCACAATTGCTCGCATAAGTTATCCTCGCTGCGATAGATGCTGGTATGTTTGCCAGATAGTGACGGTTTTATATACGATGGAACATCCCCGTGTGCCTTTACTTTTCGGTCGCATCGGAAACAAAAGTATCTTGACAACAAGAGTTCTTGGATTATGAGGTCGGATTTCAGCCAAGTCTCTGCAAGTCTTAAAACGCCCAGCCGCTCCGATACAGCGAAGCGGCACAGTTCGTCACGTGTGTTCATTAGGCTGCACAAATTGACGAATGCCACATGGAGGTCCTAGGAGGTTCAGCCGAACGTCCCTGGAGGTTGAGCAACCGGTTGATACAGGTTCTTAGACTCTGCTTGAGCACCTGTAAGTCAGTTTCACCTACTTATGTACGATGTTTGAGCTCGATGGCCAAAGTCTTCATAACACCCCTGTATTTCGGGATCCATGTCTCGGTCTTGACAGACGAGACAGTATGAGTTGTGGCGTATTGTGATTTGCAAGGATGATTCAGAGGTCAATATGACCGGTTGATTTTCTGTGCAAGTCGGGCAACCTGTTTAACTGTCACACTGCCTTCACGCGCATCCAAGTTTCTATCAGTTAGACTCTGGAGGAAAGCAACATCGTGATCATAGCGTAGCTGAGGGTTTTCATCTTCGGGCTCTGTTACCTGGAAGACCACGCGATTATGACGCCTCAGGGAAATCGGTGATGAACCTGGGGGAGCAAGACTAGAGGCGCTTATCGGTTTGGCTTGTAACTTATCAGCAGGGGACGCCCGAACATGATTATGTGACCCTTTGCGCTTTTGAGTGGTCTATGGATCCTCGGAGTTCACAGGTTCACAGATAGGCTCTGAGAAATTCACGGACCGATCAGTGAAGCGGCATTTCGTAGGTTCAGAGTCTGAGTCTTCAATCGGTGGGGAACATTGAACCTGAGGCTCGGTCGGGGTCGAAGACGCTGGTGGTGGTGCAGATCCGGAGTGTCAAGCGTAGGCGAGGTAACAGAGGTACTTTCCTGAGGGCGTTTGACCGCACGTGGTGAACAGTTTGTTTCTGCCTGGAAGAGAGGTTTTCCTGTAGTTATTAGCGGTCGCTGTGCATTCTGATGTTTTGCACCGCGACCTTTATCATGTGGAGATACGTGTTAGTCTATGCAGATGCACATCTGTGTTTTAAAAATGTTATTCTGAAGCTTGATAGTTGCGTTTTAACAAGTAATCGATAGGACCACCGTTTACTGATCTCTCCAGTGAAAACAAATTTCCGATCAGTGGGTTAATTGTCACGCGCTCATTAATGTAAAGGTGCCCTTGTAGTATATATCCGGTCAAAGGTTCCAAGGGCTACTGATTCCAGAGCGCAGGTGGCTCGTAATAGATGAAGGGGATGAGGACGCACAACAGAAACTTCTTACGCGGCTGGATACTTTTATCACAAACAACTCGTGATAGCCGGTGGTGGATGGGGAATACGCCTGACTTACACCTTGTGCAAGCTGGACGATGGTGTCAAAAATGGCCGATGGAAGACCGAGCCCTAAGGTTACTGGAAAGATGATGGGAAAACGTACGGGAGATCGCTGATCTAACACAAATCTAAAACGATGTGGAAAAACAAAGATAGCAAGGAACGACATTGGCCTTCAACACTAGGCTCGACAATCCCTTACCTGCTGGCTGATCACGGTGGCACTTCCGGGCGTGCTACAGCCTTGCAGAGCCAAAGTATGTCTATCCGCGTAGCACCAACCTACACCTAATTGGAGATGGTGAAAGGGAATTGACTGCCAGTTCACTAGCAACTCCACTTTTTCTGCTCAACTGTGGCAATACTTCGCCTGTTGTGTTTCAGATGTTCAATTCTTATGTCGCTTCTGGAGTGGTGCTGTAGGTGGTAGTACAAGGAGGAACACCGAAACGAAGTTTTGAAATACATAACAGTTGTTGCAGCATTGGTTTTCTCAACCCCAACATAATTAATTGACACTGTTAGAAGGAGGTGTCGATGAGAAATGGCTTTGATAAACCTTTACTTTGCCAAGCTGATTCGTCTTCTTTCTGGTCATCTTTATTGCCACTTCCTTCTCCTGAAGCCGGACATTTGGATCTGCACCACATTGTAACAGCCTTCTAGCCATCTTTACGTCGCCCGACTGAACGGCTAGGAACAAACACGGCAGAGGCTCACTTGGAGTATTGGGATCTGCTCCTCGCCTGAGTAGCAGTTCAATAAGTTTGAAGATCTGGTTCTTTCTGTGGATTACAAGTAAACATGCATATTTTTGTAAGCATCGAAAGTTTTAAATTTCAGCTAAGTTACTCCTACCGGGCTTAGCATCACAATGTTGCAGTACATATAAACTTGCCTCTCACTTTAATCTCAAAGCTACCTGGTCCCAACACCAAAAAGATCTCCGCCCTCAACCGTACATGGCAAATGCTTAAAACACAGTTAAACCCATGTGTTCTCGACTAAACTGAATTGCTTTTCTCTCTTACTGAGTTCACATAGCCCGTTAACCTGGTAAGCGCAGTTAAACAGTGTACATACAAGACTCATGACCATGGGACAAACTTACTGCGCGAGAAGAACCGCCCGTTGGTGAATGGTGGAATTGGTCTCTGGGTCTGTGTCAGCAGCATCCAACTGCTCGTCTGTACTTCCTCGACTAGGTGCAGTGAGCGTTGCAGGACTGATTACTCGTTTGGCTAGGAAGTATTCATTTTGGGACAGCTGTCTGGCTGTAGTATGCAACGAGACCGGTGAGACGGGGTCTTGGGGATATTCTTGGACGCAGCGTCTCGAGAGTGCCACCATATCCTGCGAAGTAAAATATTCCATCCAGCATAATAAGAGGAGGTACGCATTAAATTCACCGTATTTCTGTATGAGCCATATCTGATTAAACTAGTAATTGGGTTAGTTCTTGTTTGATCTGCTTAACAAAAGAAAATGTACAGCGTAATCATCCGCGGTGCAACAAGAAATATAAAACATTGAAAAATCCGTTGTTTTTCCTAGAATCCTTATTCACAGATAAATGGTAATCCTCCGTGGCATCAAAGTCAGGTGGCGTCAGACTTACGAAAAGAATCTACTTCCAAAAGAAAGGCAAGCTCCATTGTTGCAGCTGACGCGAATTATTGCTGAACAACCTAGCCTTGAAATACCCTTATGGACAACACCGTGAGGATCCCCTACCGGGAAGCTTCATGTGATTACCGTTCATATCGGGACCGCCTAGCCATACCGGATTACATCCAAACAGCGTATGATCACCTTCAACTGCATGACATAATTTGGCAGGACCCTTCTTTGGCTCCATGCTTCGCGCCCCATTCTCACTCAGCGCAAGTCCATTCGCAAAGCTTCCTATCGCGAACTTCGTAGTTGAGACTACACTCTCCCGTCTTTAGCTGACCGATTTTGGTCCAACCACTGTCTCACTGTAAGAGCCAGGAACGAGAAAATCAGCCCTTTATGCGCTCTGCGAATGTGATTTTATTGATAAGGAACGAACTCCAGATTATGGTAAATTTCATTAGCGATACATGAGTTTGTATAACCTTATAATAAGAAAAGACACGTTGTTTATTAGATTTTTTAAATTTCCGTGAGTGATTAAAGAACGCCGGTGTGATACCGTTGGCAGTATGCCCGAAGCGGTAAAGTTGTGCGTAAAGGGCTTCTGTTTGCCGTTTGCTAATGCTTATGATGTATTGAAACATTGTCATTTTTAAACGAGTTTAAACGCTGGTATTTCATAACGCAGAACAGTGTTTCATATATGACAAATAAACAGGCAAATGTGCAGTGACACTCCAACCTTCTAACCAGCGCCACCCATCTCATCTTCAAATTTGGTGAGGTTTTTCAGAACCTGGGATATCAGTAGGAGGTAATCACGTAAATGCTCCCTGTCATAACGCTGATCTGTCTTCACTGACTGCGTAGCGCCGCGTTCAACCAACTCGGGGAAAACCAGTCTAGAGATAAGGAGTGACCAGAACGGATCTATAGGATTATTCACGAGCATATTTATAAGTTAAACATATGCTGTCGCACTGACACTTTGGCTGTAAGCTTCCACCCTTGTATACCAAGTAGGTTTGATGTCTGCTGCTCTGGCATCTTGACTGGCATGTAGGCTCACCCGGACTTGACATCTGTTAGGAAGGAATACACGATGAGAACAAGCCAGGCAGTAAGCGATCTATACTCACCCACCCAGATTGGGGTGCACAGAGGGCCAACCGGGAGAAGTGGCCAATTAAAGCGAGGGCGGGGTTCCTTGATTTGCTGTAAGTTGACCTTTCCAGAGCTTTCCACGCGCGCTTTAAATGCCATTCACGAACTTTCCATTTCGCCCTTATAAGTAATGGTGTGATTCCCTAATGGATCCCTGTTGCTCTGCTCGTCCGATCCGGTCTTCTCCCCGTCCTGGGGGGCAGCGACTTCGGGTTTTGTTTGGGAATCAAGCGTCCATTCGGGCGAGGGACGGACACTAACGTCTCCGGCCTCATTGGTAGTTTGACCCCCGAAAAGTGTTCTCACATGTCGCGACTCAGGAATCTTTGCATGGTTCACATGACGCCTGCGCGCATGACTGGACATTTTGTTCGACAACCAAGGCGGACGAGACTTCACTGAGCTAGCCGACTTGTTCGCAGGCCTAAGGAGCCCTTGCTTGTCACCACCACAGTGTATTTTGCCGTTTTGTCTCTCCGATAGAATCTCACACAAATGAATCTACCCTTGTTCGTACAAACCCAGGTCTGAGTCGGCGTGGACTGTACACGTGCCTGTGTTCAAACATAGGCAAATTTCCACTGTCGCTAACCGTAGCGGTGACAAAACTGTACCACTACCAACACAATCCCCACTGACCGTGTCAGCGATTGAAGCCCAAATGGGCGACACGGGCCTTAATAGTGTTGTCATTGTCGGAACTGGTGAAGCAACCTACCATTTCCATTGCAACACTGTTGTGATCTATGACACTGCGTGTGGGTGCTGCATTGAACGGTTCTCGGTTTGAGAGCTAAGCTACGCACTGGGTGCCAATGACACAATACGTAATATACTCTGGTGCAGCGAATTGTCAGAGGTGTGAGTTGGAAAGCAGCCCTTATGCCACGATCGAGGCGTCGAGCGTTAGTGCGCACAGAGAGCGGGAGGGACACTTGACGAGGGGAAAGAAATGTCACGAGCAGAATATAGGGATCACAGAGGGTACAGTCTCTCTGGTGTTTATGGGTATAAGTTGTGTGCTTGCACAAGATGACTGCTTCAGGAAATATCCAATTCATGATTCTATCGACTGAGGAGGTGGTGTTACTGGAAGGAAACGAGGACGAATGTATGAACAGAATTAGGGTGACGTGGGATGAGTCTCAACGTGTTATCTTTAGCACAAAATGCAGCCGCTACGTGGGTGGAAATACGACGGTGGAATTACCGACCATCGACTTAGCAATTTAGGCATACGAAACAATTATTATAGCGTATTTCCCATTTGTAGAGTAACGGTTTGGGATTGGTTACGGTAATTGGTTTTGGCTATTTGCCATGCAGTTGGCCGTGTATTTTGCGGCACACTGGCTAACCTCAGTGAGTCTTCCGAAGTTGTGAGTTATCCTTTTGTCGTTAGCAGAGGGGTATTTTGTGTGTCAATTACCCGGCTATTGAACATGCCTGACTGCATTAACACCTGAGCCGCTTACTTCGTGAGCGCACCACAGCTTACTGTTCCCGGCCGATTGCGGAAATACGTAAGTTGGAACTGAATAGCCCGTTAGGATTAATAGTAGGTGCCGTTGTAGTTGAACCGGACTGCTGCATACACGCTAGTCGGCGCTGTACTTAATGCGGAACGCAACAGTTACCCATGTTGAAATGGGATGGAGCTAACTTGCAACTTCTAGTTGTTAATACATCAGTAACCTTGGCAATTGGTATGTGAACGTAAGGACCGCTTTGTTTCGTACCGAACCGTTCATCAGCTGTGAAGTCCATACTACCTGATGTGTAAAAGCAATTCGCTGATCGGCAGCTTTAAGGCTCCTTCTCACCGCAACCGTGTGGTGTGTTCGAATACAGTCAGAAACGGACAAATACCTATCCGGAAGTTTCACCCCAGAGATAGTGTGAAAGTTAGTTGTGTTTTCCCTATGTGCTCTTGGCTTCATCAATGATCCCCTTGCACGAACTCAAGCAGCGTTTAGCCGCGAGGTATGTAACCCACAAGAGGAAGCCATACAGCGTAGGAGTATATATTTAGCAACAGTCTACGAATAGGTAACAGCCATCAGAAACCATGACACACGAAAGAAGCCACAGAAATAGTAAAAGAAAACACCTAAAAGTTAATGGTTTCGTCAGAGAGCGAGGTACAGCGTAGGACAATAAGTCAAGATATGAAATCAAGATCGCCCGGAACTTCGAGGGCCAGGAGCACGGAAGATAAGGAAACGCTGGAAAGGCCCCTACGCTGTACACCGTCGTAAAGGAGAGAACTTCAAAATTGGCGAAGTGGTGCAGAAATGCTGGATGAAAGCATCTCTACTCTGGCTGTGGCATGCGAGAGAACAGCAAATTAGAGGAGGTTGGGGTGTAGGGAGGCGGAAGACAGTGGTTGCTCGGAGGACAGCAAGACCACTAAAGCGGGAGCGGACGGAAAGAGAAACGGGTGCAATGCGGAGGAGCAAACGGAGCAACACTGGCCTGACGGAACGAGACGAAAACGGGGCACGAGCGGTGCTCAGGAGTGAGCCTGAGTCAGGCAAAACGGGGAGAGTGTTTGTCGAGAACGTAAAAAAGCGGACAAAACCGCCGTTAGTGCGCCCTCTAGGAACAACCACAAGCAAAGCAATACATCCACGTTCAAACGACGCACGAGATATCGAATGACTCCGGGTCAGTCAGAATGGAACCCGTGCAAGTGGAGTTACGGGACTGAAATGGACATAGAATAATTCTTCCCGTACCTCAAACAGTACATGGACGTGACGCAAGCGGAAGCCAGGAGCGATGGTGCAACGGAGGAAGGAACCATGACTGATTAATTTACTTCTGTGTGAGTAGTGACATAGCTTGTGATAGCGCCAAGAAAGAGGGTACTTCATTGTCGCTTCCTTGTCGCTACAATATGTCCCTAATAGTATGTGCTTTGATTTCTCAAGCGAAAGGGTTTACAGATCAGCTAGATGAACAACACCACCATAATTCCTTCTGACATGATGAAACACTTGTTCGCAGTGCTGCTGTCTCACTAAGACTCGTGCTTCCGACACCGCATGCTCCAGAAAACGAATCCGTTACTCGCTTTAACTATGAATGTCTTGAGATTACCCTTGGAGCATTTCGGAGAATTGTGCTCTCATTGCGTGTTTTACTTGAGCCTTTATTGTACTCCAGATGCTCTCGATGGGGTTGAGCCAGTGTGAGTATGGTGCAAGATGCAGAAGTCTCCCAGAGCAGTTAGGCTCCTTCAGGAAAACGTGATCTATGTAGATGTGACAGAGCGCGTTGTCGCAAATCAAAAGGAAACATTCCACAATCTCCTCTCCGTTGGCATCATGCACTCTTCGCAGCCAAGGAGCGTAACTTGACTTGTTTCATCTTTCTCACAAAAACGAATACGCTATCAGGCCACTGTTTGTCCTGGCATCGACAAGATGCACAGTCGGTCCCCGGCTCTTGGCTAACGCACACTGCGCTAGACTGTAGCTTTATGAAAGATCTATGTTGTAAACACAAGATAGGTCAAAGTTGGCCTCATCGATCCTCTTAAGTATAGCCCGTAGCCGATAGACAGTACA